ACATCCTGTTTATACTGTTTTGGAACCATAGTATTAGGCCATTTCGCAATTTCTATGTAAATTAAATGTATATTCTTAGAACATTCTGACACTTTTATTGGACTGATCTTTTTGGTATTTTCCGGTGAATAAAATGCATAGTTTAAGTTTCATCAGCTGGAATGTTTTTAAAATTATGTTTTCCAAGTACAGATGTAAAATTCACCAAATATACCAGTATGAATAGACAAAATATCAGGAATAATTAACATTTTAAAAGACTAACATTCCATATGTTTTTTTTCGTATTTTGTATGACTCGACAACTTTTCAGAAAAAAATGGATGGGGACTAAAAACCTTTATTACAGTCCTGTGAGGACATCACATGGCTTGCACACACTGGAAAAATAAGTTGTCTTGTGAGTCCATTAGAACTCACTTGACTAACTGGCACCAATAGGAAAAGCATGCAAGCATGTGAACCATGTTAAGTTGTCAACAGGAGACTTCAAACACTAAAAAGTATTGACTTCTAAAACTATCTCTGAATACATACCACAAAAAAAAAAAAAAATCAGCTCAAACTTGGCAAACACTTTCTCTTTGAGAAAATGTGTGAAATTCATAACGTCTCTTAAATAGGTCACATTTTTCCAAGTTCAAAATAACATCTTTTTTCACTCTTGTAGGTTCAACTAATCAACTCACAAGTCAGTCTATTAGCTGCAATTATGATAACTAATTAAACCAAAGAGGCTTATGATTAAGTTAATTCAAAAACAATATTTACTAAAGAAGAGAATATCTTACAACATAAAATGAATTATTAGCGGTGGCAATTACAGGGAAATAACTGTACAAGGTGTGTGAATCAGAGAAGGGATATTAGAATTTAAATGAGGATATCAGGAATCGTTGGAGGTATCAGATGACACTGTATGCAAAACAATAAACAGCTCAAAGCTTATTGATTAGATAGAGCAAAATGCCATAAAGTGGTCAAACGAACTCTGCTAGTAATCATTACTAAATCAGCTGCAGCATAAACTTAACAACCAATATCACAGACCTTATTAGGCATCAAAACCAGTACCCATTTATGACTTCACATAATTTTGCATGTCCTTGGTAAATTATGAAAGCAGCTAAGTGGAAAGTGTTAAGCAATTATTTCTTTATAAGGAATATAATGATTGCCCTGTATGCTAACTCACCCTTAAGCAGCTATTTCTCAACATAATAATTAAGAAGCTGCTGACACACCTAAAGAGAGTCTGAAGTGCTCATGCATAACTACCTTACAGTGAGAGGTGAGGAGGTTAATATTTTCTCAGTGCTCCTACAGATAATTTGAGGCTCATTTTGCACTTTGAACATAACTGGAACACAACCAGTTATTTCCAGTTCATGTCATTGTATGTTGCCTTTGACTTGTATTATCTCCATAGATACCAGACATGTAGCCTTTAACTTGACTTTATCAGGCCCATTAGTTCAAAACAACATATATGGCAGTGGGTAGCGCCATCCACCCCCTTTAAAAAGGCACTTCTTGCAAGATTTTAGGAAACTTAAAGCTTTTTTCCACTCCTAAAAAAGTTTATGTACAAATGTAAAAGGTTATTAAAAATAAATATAGTTCTTTTGAATAATACAATTAAAGTTTTTCAGTAACTTTCACTATTTTATCTCTCAAAGAGAGCAAGTTCCGATGTCCTATCTCCACAGTTACAGCACATAGATAACACATTGTCCAGTAAAACAAATGTGTCCTCCCTTACACATAAGATACACCTCAAAGTTGCAACTAGCATTTTGTACCAAGAATATATTTGCAAAAGTAAAAAAACAAGTAAGTAAACAACTACATGTAGGAAAACAATGAGACAAAAAGGAAAAATACCTTTATGTTAAAGCTAAAACTTCACATTTTTGCTAACACAAATTTACCTGACAACTTACAGTGCAAATACTCAAGGAAAGAATGGAAGAGTTTGACATTTTAGGATGGCATGCACATTGACATCCCTATATCTTAATTCTCACTGAAAAGGATCATTTCTACTATCATAATTCAATTTGATCATTTTTTTTCCTTCTTTTTTTTTAAATTTTTTTTTAAACATATTTTAACAATTAAAGTTAATGCATTTTATGGATGAGTGTCCTCTCTGGTAGTATACCTCCGGTTTGGAGAAAAGTTCTTCAATAGACTCCAGCATAGTTTAGTGCAGATGCAATCACATAATACTGCCCTCAAACTAATAGTATCAAATTGAGATGTAGATAACTACACACTTGGTACATAAACCCTTCAGTAGTTGTGGTTTACATTTAGAGACAATGTTTAGCGTGGTCTTCAGTTGGCTGACTTCTATAAATTGGTATATTTCAGCTTATTCTTTTCGTTTCTTGCAGTGTTACCTGATGATGACACAGAGCAGTCATCGTTGCATCATTACGTGAACACAGCTGCAGCTACTCAACTTAACAGGCACTGGCGGCTACCATGCTAACTAACCATCCAGCTAACAATCACCAATGTTGCAAAAATATTGTCCTAACATGACGAAAACCCACATGGGCGTTTACTCTTTTAAACAGTACATTATATTTTAGCAAATGCCTAGTAAACCTTGTCCGAGCTAAGGTTGCCAACTCCAACCCTCCCAACTACAAGTCAGTACAGACCCACACATTGAGTCAAGCTAGCTAGCTGTCCATCCAATCAGAAAAAGCCAGTTACCCAACCGAACACGCCGTTAGTAGGACAATGACACAAACATCTTTACCGATATTACTATTACCCGTGTGAGTTGCTTCAGAGCGAAAGACAGCATGTTTCCAGCTGTGATACCAGACGGAGAAGCAGCACTGCAGCCTACACACCGCTCACAGGCTCGAGAGGCGGTTTAAAGTTGTCAGCAACGACTGATTACGATTGGCCTGCCGAAAGGGTTGCTGGGAATCGTAGGCTGATGGACATTACATTAGTTATGTAAACCAGGTCTGTGACTACGTAACCACCAACCTCTGAGGCCTGTAAGAAATGTGTGGCCTAAGTAATATTATCAGCTACCGCTATCGTTGTTGATCTTTCGTGTGTTTATGTGAGCTGGATCCAAAAATGAAGTGTTTCAGCACCACGCAATGAAGTGTGGAAATGTACCACTCTCAGACTAATGAAAACTAATAATTCGATTTAAAGAGTGAAATTTTTTCACTCTGTGTTAAGGCTATGCCACGTGGACTAAACTTCAGAATCTCTTGAATCTATCATATCCTAAAACTTTAACAATCTGAAACATACACAATCCAGTTATACACCAACAATCACATTATTTTTGTGTGATATATTAGTTAGAATAGATTAACCAGATTGGGGAAATTGCCCTTAGGAGTGAATGTGAGTGTGAGTGGTTGTTGGTCCTTGTATGTCTTGTGTGTGGCCCTGCGATGGACTGGCGGACTGTCCAGGGTGTACCCTGCCTCTCGCCCGTTGACCACTGGGATAGGCTCCAGTTCCCCCCGCGACCCCATGAGGGAATAAGCGGTATTGATAATGGATGGATGGATGGATGGATAGATTAACCATATTTCTAAAGGTTTTCACAACTACACTATGCATGGAAGTTTTGTGTCGTTTATCAATCTATTTTCTATTAAGCTTAACTGTCATTAATTGGAAATGTTATCATACTTTGATCTCAGCCTCTGCATATTCAATTTATTCCCACCAAGGCATCATATGATCTCTTCATAAAGGTTGATATGTAATTTTGAACGTTTGACTCATAATTATAATCATAACACATATTTGACTCATAATTATAGTTTGCAGAACTAGTCAGTCTATGGATGTTTTATTGAAAACATCTTGGATGTTTTATTGAAATTCAGGGAACATGCAAAAAGAGAACACACACAGCGACATTTCTAGTATCACTGACATGAGCAGCCATGCTGACTCATTGATTTGCAGTCACAGGCATAATCATTGGAAAAAGTATTTAACAGGAAACCAAACAAACATATTTTTGCAAATATAGGCACCATATGTGAATGTATTTTTTTCCTTTTTTTTAAATCTCAGATTTGAAAACTTAATGTAAGTAAGTACAGCCTTGCACTGTGAAACTTTTTCAGCCTCCTTTAGATTATGTAGTTTCTTGTGGAATTTATGTAGAATTGTTTATCTGCCTCTTAAAACAGCTTGTTGACGTTTTTACCACTTTTCCATTTGAAATTCTTTCTGTTGTGCATGGTATGACATATTCTTACATGTACTGCTTTACTGTTACATGTTTTTCCTGTAGTATTATTGCATTTTTCGTCTTTAACAAGCCCTTTCCACAGCCCTCCATTGCTATTTTTCAAGCCAGTTTTGGTCAATTTATTATAGGGTATCTGAGGATTGTTTGGCTACCTCCACCTCAAACAGATGACCTCGCATTACTTTCTGCCATGCTCAGTAACTGCAAGCTAACCATTCCCTGAAGCCATGAGTAACTTCGAACTACATTATTTCCATCACCACACATCACAGCTGGGGATTCTCTGCTGAAACTGTGCCTTTGATATGTTCCTCCAATTTCTGTCTATAGTGTTGATTGTATCTGTTATTGATCTGTTCAGAAGACATTGTTCCAAAGTCAACAGTGGTTATACTTTATTGCTCTCTTTGGACAGCAAAGAATTTTTCTTTCTGCATACTGTACCTCCCATGCAGGTCAAATTTGTGCCATGTTTTTCTAAATAGAGATACACTTTAACCCCCCACAGCTCAACAGCTTACATGCAGAATCTAGAATTTTTTCTTGCCGGTCCTGGACATAGGCTGACGATCCACTCGTTAATTATTCAGATAAATTCGAGACCTTTTTAAATCCATCACCTGGCTGCCAGATGCAACCTATAAAAAAGGCAGTTCTTTAGATTTTGGCATGCTGACAGGATACTTTAACTCCGGACAGAAAGCCAGTGCCAACAAGTAAATATTAAATGTTCAAATATGTCACTTTCCAGCAAGAGCATCTTATTTTAGGATTTTCCTTTGTGTATGTCTGTGTGGTATTCTATCGACTTGTTCCACAGCAGTGTAAATAATTTTAATTTCATGTTTACTGTGCATATCTTGTTCAAATTCCAACAATAAATAAAGAATCTAAATTATTTTTTCATTTGAATAAATAGACTTTATTAAAAAGGCATTGTTTCAAATGGGATTAAGAGTTTGCGTCTTCACAAATATTGGAAATAAGTCAGCCATGAAACATGCCTTGTCTTTCAATTAGGCTGTACAGTCATAGTAAACAGACACAGAATGAAGATCCATCCAAAGAAACTTGGCTGGGAATACCCTACCAAATCTCTACAGACATTCTGTGAAACAAAGGAAGGAACACCATCGATATTTGTCTCTGAGCAGCATCTTGTTCGATAAAAATTCCTAGACCATCTTGGACTTCAAATTGAGTCATAGTAAGATGTGGATTGAAATAGCATTGAGTGTGGGCTTACTAATAAAATACTGTGCACTAATGTTGTCAAGATCAAAGCTTTGGAGATCAGTCTGTCCTCTGAGAACAAAAGGCAGACTGTGAAAAGGAAATGGGCTGTTTGAGGTGTACTCAGTTAAATCACAGACTATATGGTTCCCGATTGTCATTTAACCCTTGATCTTGATGTTCGAGTAAATGTTTTTGTGATGGGAATTACAAGATAATTTTACAATAGTTTAATATTTAAAGAAACATTTTAATGTCCCGATGAGATGAATTGTGCTCAGTCAGTTAGATATAATGTAATATAATACTGTCAGCAGTAAGATAGTGGTCAGCAGAAAGTCTACTGGAGGTTTTTGTACTCACTAGAAAGTTTCACTATGCAATACTTTATTTGCTGGTACAATCAAACCAGCATAAATCGGTTACTCATCTTACTTCCTCTTACAACTTATGTACATATCCTTGAAATAATTTATTTTAGATTAATTTCCATCCTTTTTTATACCACTTATTCCTAACGGGGTTACGGGGGGGCTGGAGCCTAACCCAGTTGACTGGTGAGATAAGGGGTTCACCCTGGACAAGTCCCCAGTCCATCGCAGGGCCACACAGAGACACACAACAGCACACATTCACATTCACTCCTAGTGGAAAATTAGAGTGTGATTCATTTCCATTAAATTCTATAATTGTATGTCAGCTGCTCAAAAATAGGAAACAAGTAATCTGAAGAATGTTTTATGGTTGGTTTATTTGCTAAGATTCAATCTATGGCCATCTTTCTTCTGATGGGTTTTACAAGATTTATATGGTATATCCTCATCAGAAAAAAATATGATGCATTTCATGACAATGTGGTGCAGAGTCAGACAACATGATGGTCCTGTAAAGCTTTTGCCCTGCAATCAGACATGGAGCTCTGAATGAAAACATCCACCCAGTGAAAGTCAGACAGTTAAAGAGATTTTAATGTGCTTGTTCATACATTATATTGTATGTATATCCAGCATAGCATTTCTCATACATATAACTCTCTTGTGTCCATGGTTTGCAATGTAGAGCTGAGAGAAAGATTAACAGTCTACCATAACATTACGTCTGCCACACAGTTGCCTAAAGGGCTCACTCTGTACTCGGAGGGCATGATACAGATTCCAGCTGTTTTTAACCGAATTCTCGACCTGCAGAAAGTAATAACACTGAGAAACATATATCTAAAAACAATACGCCTGATGTAGTTTAGTATATTATTTACAGAAAACAAACAAATAGATAAATAAAAAGTTAACAAATACAAAGTTGGAAAACACATTAGAGAATCAGCCATTTCCTAGTCATCCATAGCTCTGATAATACGTGATTTAAATCCACAATTCACAGCAGTTCAGAGGCAAAAAACTGTCCTCTGCTTTTTCATTATAATCAATATGCATGTTATCTCCATCTTATCACCATACTCATCAATGTTTTCATTACCATAGTCCTTTTTTTTGTCAAATCATTTGAGTCTCAATTATTTATCCGAAATAGGGGCGCTCACTTTGGAAGTTGTAGTCCGGACACACTTTTTGAACCAGCTTGTAATCAATGCTTAAGAAAGAGATGAAAATGCAGATCACCTTGAAGGGTTTGGCACAGAGCCAGGAAACGTAGGACTGGGTGTGTTCTGTGAAGCAGGTCTGAGATGGATCGTACAGACAAGGTTTGGACTTCTTGGATCTGTCGGTTTTCTCGTATTCGACCCTGCAGTTGAGGGTCTTTCCCTCTTTGGGGTCAATGGTGGACTGCTGTGTGTCCTGGATCTGGATGTCTTGCTGAGTGTGGGGTTGCTGCTGCTGAAGAACTTCAAACTCCACCACTTTGGTGGGAGGTACAATGCTGACTGAAACATTCCCCAGGCTGGATGAGTTGTGGCGGAAGTAAACAGTGAAAGTTCCATTGACGTGGTCCACGATCTTCCCAGTGACCAACAAGCTAAACTTCACGGTCTTGACGCTGAAGTAGAAGTCTCCCCAGCCTAAGATCTTCTTGGTCTTCATGTTTGTTTTTAGCGAGGGCTTGCGTTTGGAGCGGTAGCCTGTCTGGTCTAACAGCTGGGACTGGTTCCGGCCTGCGTCATATGGGTTAAAGAAACTGTAGGTGGGTGGCTTGGATTTAATGGGTGTTTGGTCGATGGATGTGGAGAAGATGGGGGATTGGTAAGGAGGTTTAACAACTCCTCCGGCTGTGCCTCCACCCATGCCATACGGAAGCGTCTTCATCACTGACCCCACTGGCCCCAAATCTGAGAGGTCCACTTGCTTCTCCAAACCTTGGACCTGGAGAGGACAAAGTTATGGAAAAATATTACCAACAAATTACAGTTATTTCAATTCTGTTTATATTTGATGTCCACCCTGCTTAGACTGATACAGTTCACTTTAGAAATAAAAAATAAAACAACCTATAAAAGAAAATGTTATTCGTTGAGGCTAATTCACACCATTTCATCAAGTGATAAATATTGAATGAGTTTAACTTGAATTGGGAAAAACTTTGAATTGTGGGCAATTAACAAGCGCAATGGAATAGGACTCAGGGTGGATGGATATGGGGGAATCTACACATCTATTTTTTTAAAGTTGCTCCGCAGTATCATTCTTTTTTCATTCGCAATACATATCCTTGTTTTTGGACACAAATGCATTTCATCTTATGAATTCAAGAAACAGCACCACCTTCTTTTGTTAACACACTTTAATTTTGTTGTCAGAGTTGCTCCAGTGAGCAAAACATCTCTGTATGCAATGTAATGGATGTGAGTCTTTGTTTGTTCAGACAGCTTTTTGCCTTTAATCCACAGCCGGGGTGGTTATTTACGGGGCTGATTGACTGGAAATCTCAGTCTACTCTTTCATGTCTCATCAATCACATCACTGCCACTACCATCCATATGCATACATCCATACACATACACACAGCTGGAAAAATACATGCACAAACACATACCTCAGGCTTGATGATGTTATGAATTGACAGCCAGACGTTTTACAACTACTGAGAATGGTTGCATGTGCTTCTCACCAGAGTGCATTTGGATGAGTTTGAAACAATTTTCCGAGGTGATAAACAACCTCATACTACACAATACATAATAAACACAAAATAGCATTTACTGCAAAACCCCCAAATCAGACATTTTCAAGTTGTATGCAAGTAGAGTTTCCATCCTCAGTCATTCTTATCCAGGACAATGTAACCAGTAGGATTTTGCCTACGCTGTGCTCAGCTTTCATCAATCACTGAACCTAATGACTCCCACATATGGCTATTCGTAGAAGTAAAAGTACAGCACTCAATACAGCATCTAATGTATTCAGTCATTCAATTAAAGTATCACCATTTCTGCTGGTCATTCATTAACATGGCTTTGGAGCTGATTTCTGGAGCAAAATAACTAAAAGTTTATTGACCAGTGGAGGACCTAATTGCCAAAAAGAGAAATGCGACTAATAATGTCTCATATTTGAACACACTTCTTTTCCCTTTGGTGTCAGGACAGAATGCTTATGCACAAGTCTTGCAATTCTTAACTAGTGCATGCATGATGTGAGCTGACTTTGGCATTGACGAGCCGGAATGAGCTTCACTTGATGGCAGAAAAACACCAGAATATATACTGCAACAAAAAGTATGCACAGTGCATGCAATATGGGGACTTCCTGTGAACGCGCTGTCAGCAGTGCTGTCAGCTAGCTCCATGTGTTGCCATCTGTCAGGCTAACACTCTGCTGGTGCAGTCCTAATAATTTCTCTGGTGTATGGCACAGAGCTCGAACTGGCACAATCATCATAATCTTTAACTGTTCTCAGAAGCAGCATCGCAACATGAATCTCAACCTAAGCTTCATGGTGAATTGCATGAACTTGAAAAATTATTTTATGGTGGGGTCTGAGGTTAGTTTGAGTCGGTCTAACAAGGAAGGGGGAAAGCAGCTGTTCACAGTCAGCATCTTTAACAAACATCGATTGAGGGAAAAAAGATGAGTATGTAGGAAGAGCCTCTTCGTCTGTGGCACGAAAGTAATAAAATGCCAACAGAAACCAATAAATGGATGGACTTACCATTAGCATAAATATGAAATTTTTTGTACTTGACAGTAAATCCATTCAAAGGGTGATTGTTTGTTAGAAGAAATATCAGATATTTTCTCTTGACAAGAAATCTATAAACTATGGACTTTTTGCAACAGCAAATGTTTGCTGTAAGGTCATACCAGGCTGCCCCATCCAGAGAAAGATTGACGATCTGAGAAATAAAGCTTTTCTTCATTGTCAGATGCTATTCAGTTAAGTTACAACTAGTGAAATTCAACTGAATGAGTGATGGCACTCACTGTGTGCTGAATCTTAAAGCTTAATTTCAACAGGACCTTATTTGTATACAAATTTCGGCAAAGGAAATATTTTCTTGTTGGAGAAAAAAATAATTACAAAAGTTTCAGCAAAAAACAAACAAACAGCCATAGTATGTTTTATATCCATAACAATTTGTGGGTCTTTAATGACTGTAGGACAGTTAATTGTTTAAGTGAAAGAGCCTCAAACATGTGACTCTGCTGTTTTATTTCAAATTCTTGCCAGGCCTTAATTGGCCTTCTAGTACCTGCAAGACAGGCCAAGAACTGCCATTTGGAATTGTCAATAGGGAATTTCAGTGCTTGATAGCTGCAAATGTCATGTGGCCAGTCAAGATGTGAAACTGAGGAGGATTTTACAACACGATAAATATCCCTTGAACTTAAATATAATTCATAAATGTTGTATAATAGCTCCCTATAGATACAACAACTTAAATCTGTCACATTTGCTGCCTCAAGTGTAACAGGTGAATATGAAGTAAATGCAGACACAATTTCAGATTTTTGTTTCATAAGTGCTTGCATTGCACTGTGCAACAGCTCATTAATTATGACACGTATTTACTTTTATATATGAACTCTGTCTCTGTCTCAGATTTCCAGCGGGCTCAAAAGTAATTGGTATTAGTAATGTTCTTTGTTTTGAATAATGTGGTTGTATAAAGGCTTAAGATGGGCACAAATATTGCTCTTGTACAAGGGAATGTAATATGTCATTAAGCAAAATGCTCTGTAACATGTAAACATGAATATCAATCAGACATACAATCTACAACTAATGTTCACATCATTCTCAAAACGTTGTCTCATTTAGGCTCAGGTCCATACTTGTACACAGCTTTTATCAGATGACATCAGTGACACTTAATCCAGCAGAGGCTGAGCACTCCCTAAAGCTGCTTTAAACAGAATTGCTAAAACAGGGTTGAGAAGGTAGCTGCTCTTTATCCCTGCAACATTACAAATAAGACTTGATCCTGCATAGGTTTTTCAATTATGAACCATAAAACAAAGCTTGAGGGTTGGTAGTGGTTAGCAAAAATTACCTTTGTGGGTTTTTTTTTTTTTTTTAACCTTTTCATGATTTGTACAACAAGAAGTTACTCACCATAATGCCTACGATGTCAATATTTGTTTTTTATTTTATTCTAATTCTTAATGACTTCACACAAAGCTCGGTTAAACCATTTTATTTGTTTAGAAAAAGTGACAATCACAAAATAATATTCTAAGTGATACGACGGGTCTTCATTGACACACATCTCTAAACTATCCTATGAAAAGAAGCTGTATATGTGTTAACACAGCATTAGAGTAGATATTCTGGTTCGCTGGAATGCTGTAGGAAATGGCAACATAAGGTGGAATAAGTATTGTGGTGGACTTATGCATATGTATTATGCAGACAACTCAATAACGGCACAATCGGAGAAAGAGCAATCAGATTACAGAGCTTGGGAGATAGAGGAATAGGGTGAAGAAAATGTTATTAGTGAAGAAGTAAAGGGATGAGACGAGAGAGTAAGGGGATCTTGTACATTTTCTAGGAACGAGGAACATGAATCATATTCTAACTTAATTTAGGGCTTCATATGAGCAAAAAGCAGTCTTGGTAGCTGCCTCGATGGAGGGCCTATAATGTACCCAGATGTACATGTAAGAATGAAATGTCTGCATTGTTCAATGAGGAGATTACAAGTGCAGCAAAGATATAGACACGAAAGTGACAAGACTCCTGTTTCTGCAAACAGAGAGGGGTTAGTGAAGAAGAGAGAAACTCATTCATTAAATACTGAGCCCCACAATTGACTGCTGACATTTGAGACATGTTACATGTCACGCCAATTAAGACCTCTTTTCAGCATTGAGGATCCTTTGGATCAATTCTTACACTTGTGTCTCGGCTCTCACCATCTATTGTATCATTTCTCTTTTGACTTTTGACATTCATCCGTAACTTCCACACCTCCTTGATAGTGGAAGAATTCTGAGGAAATGAGCAGCCCTCACCAGCTCCCCCAGTCCACCTCCGGCTCCCACCCTCGAAAGGACTGATGCGAAGATGAGGGCTGCTCGTGTCTGAGCTATCCTGTTCCTTTGTTTAATTGGAGTTTTATTGGTGACAATCAATTCATTTCTATCTGATCCCAGGCTGCATTGATCTGCTGTCACAGAGAAGAGTCAAATGCACATTTCCCCTCCCACTGCAATGCAAACCACAGGTCCTAAATCTATTGAGCATGTTTTTTTTTTTCTTTTTTAGAGATTTACCACACTTTCCAGTAGTCAGAGCACACTAAGTGGGGGTTAGACGTGGAGCAACACCTGTTTTTATTTGAAGTTTCTGTTATCTTCATCGGTCTGCTGAACTGAACATCTCAACAAAAAAGACAGTTGTCTTAATTGAGTTCACAACAAGTGATGTAATTGATAACGCTGGCTTGCCATAGGCACGATTTTCTTTAAATGTGCCTTAAATCTGAACTTTATATCTAACTATGAATGGAATGGCAGTCAGAACCTAGAAGACCAAATAGCCAGAGAAATGTGATTATTATGAGCAACATACTATGAAACCAAGTTATGACCCCCTTGTTCAGAAAATACTTTGAGAGAAACTACCCGTTTCTTTCAGAGTAGTTATGCTTCCCAAAAAGAAATTGTCCGGTCATCGGATGGCCATCTGTCTATCATCAGCTGTGGTGAGGGAACCCTAATCCCACTTATAAATCACTTCAATTGGAGCCTGTTCATGGAATCAGACACCAAGCAATCCATGAAATGCGCCATCTACCACAAAATGCATGTTGCTCCTTACTTCAGGAACAGACACAATTATCAGTGAGGCCTTAGGAGCATATAAGTCAACCTAGTGTGAAAATATAATTGACTAATCACACTTAAAACCTCTATGTAGG